CACTTATCCTCCCCTCTGCGGCTACTGCCACACAAAGAATGGAGAATCCACATGCAAAAACATCTTTATAGCACGACTCAGGCCCCATTTAGGAAATACATTAGAATGTGTCTTGTATCCAAATTGTATCTAGTTAAGATTTAACCTTATTACATTTACACCCGGTAATAAAATGTGTCTACAGTGTAACATTTTCCAAGCTCAACCAAGTTTTGCTCCCTTATTTACCGTTTCCTCCTGCTGCAGCTTTTGGTTGTTTTGGGACAAGGTAGCCTTCTGGCTGCAGCTGCACTAAGAAGCTCTAACACCACCACTGAGAAGCTAACACAGTTGGTGGACCCTGCCAGCCATTTGACGTAAGACGAACAGAAGTTTGTGGGTTTAGCAAACTACTACTAGCTGTAGTCGCCTCAGCCCCTTTCTCTGCAACTGGCTGCCGGACTTCCTCACTGCGAGACCGCAATCTGAACGGGTCGGAAACCACACATCAGACACCATCACGCTGAGTACGGGGGCCCCCCAAGGATGTGTGCTCAGCCCCTTCCTCTTCACCCTGCTGACCCACAACTGGACACCCACCCACAGCTCCAACCACTTCATCAAGTTTGCGGATGACACAACCGTGGTGGGTCTCATCAGCAACAACGGCGAAACCCACTACAGGAGGGAGGTGAACCAGCTGGCCACGTGGTGCATAGACAACAATATCTTCCTTAATGTGGAGAAAACAAAGGAGACTGTTGTCGACTTCAGGAGAACCCCCACCCACTGACCATCAATGTTGCTGCTGTTGAATGTTGAGCAGCACCTAATTCCTGGGGGTGCACATCACCGAGGACCTCTCCTGGAGGAACAACACCACGTCACTCGCCAAGAAAGCCCAGCAGCGCCTTCACTTCATCCGCACACTGAAGAGAGCAGGAGCCCCCCCATCATGTTTTCTATCTACCGGGGCGCCATGGAGAGCATCCTCAGCAGCTGCATCACGGTGTGGTTCGGAAGCTGCACCGCCTCCAACCGGAAGACCCTGCAGCGCATAGTGAACACTGCTGAGAGGATCATCGGTGCCTCACTCCCAACTCCCCTGGACATATTCAACACCCGCCTCAACTGCAAAGTATTCAGCATTGGTGGTGACCCCTCCCATCCTTCCAACTGCCTCTTCACCCTACTGCCTCCACAGCCTCCGGTCGAGCTCCACCAGACTAAAAAAACGCTTTTTCCACCAGGCTGTCGGGATGCTGAACTCTCTCCCCTCCCTCCCACCTCCCCCCCTGCCCCCATTGGACCTGTATTTGAACACACACACACACACACACACACACACACACACACACACACACACACACACACACACACACACACACACACACACACACACACACAGCACCAGACACTTCCAGCACCAGACACTTTTCTACTACGCCGCTATGGAGAGTCATGCACCACTGTACATATTTTTACTGTTGTAATATATTCATCCTGATCCGTTTTGTAGTGACTTTAATGTTGTTATTTTGTATATATTGACTGTTCTGCCTTTTATTTATGCCCCTTTATATGTGCATATGTATATGTGTCTATGTTTGATTATGTATGTGTAAATGTATATATATATATATATATTAAAAAAAAATTGGGTGTACAGATCAGGGTTTCCGTTAGCCGGTAATTACCGGTTTTTAGCTGGTAACATTTATTAAAAACCGGTAAATTCAAAACCTGCCGGTCAAAATGTCCGGTAATAATTAGGGATGCTCCGATCGGCCGCCGGTCATTATCGGCCGATATTCACTCTTAATAGTTCGATCGGTGCTCTCTATAATATGGGCTCAGAACAGTCTCATAATACACACATGCACACAGAAGGATTCACACTTGTATTTCATGATCCGCAAAAGGATTCACACTTGTGTTTTTCAATGCACACACAAATGTGTTCCGTTTCATATTCATGTAAATAAAATCCAAATACAGAAAAAAGTTTTACATATGTATTTTTGATCCTCACATATTTGTTTTCCCTTTAAAACCTCTGAACCTGCAAACACAACCCGCTTTCTGTGCATGGATCGCTGTGCATTCGTGTGTGGGTTTTTTGAGACTCCCCTGACGGTCATCCGATTCGTACTTGTAATTTGTTCTATCTATAGCCAATCAGATGTCTCCTTCATTCTAAGCCAATCACATGAGGGTATGATTTCGCATATTTCATATACGCATTTTGCGCTGTCCGGAGATGACAGGTCCATGGAGCCTGCAGGCGCTAATCTCAGGACCGAAGGACCGTAGCATAGTCGTCTTTATTTTTACGGTATTATTATTCAAAGATAAGTAAGGAAGTGTCTGTTGTATGAGATGGCAGAGAGGTTTCAGCTCCGATTATTAAATCAAAGAGGCTTAATGTTTTCGATTATATTATTTCACTATACTGTAGCTATGTGGACGGTGTCAAGGTCCAATGTTGACTAAATGAATCAATAGCGGGTGTAACTAAAATACAAGATGTTTTTATTTATATATATATTATTATTATTATTATTAATAATAATATAAAATATTTTATTTGCGTGCATTACCTGTTCGGAAAGTGGCGCTGTACTGAGAGTGGCGATTTTATTTTGTAATTATATAATTATATAATACTTGTAATAATGGTGTGTTCACACCGGACGCGATGTGAATAATCGCTCGAGTTTCTTGCCGGCTGTCAGCTGTTTACTCGCCTCATTCATCTGAGTCAGCTTCTTGAGCCGTAACTGGCCGTGCAACACATATACTGTATGCCGAAGCAGTGGCGGACTGGCCATCGGGACGTACCGAAGTGGGCCGGTCGGGCCACTCCGATCTGCCCACCTCGGTACCGGCAGGGGCGGACTGGCCATCTGAAGTTGCTTTGACAGGCGACAGAGGTCCACCGTTTCCCCGCAGCGAGGCTCCCCCCGTTGACAGTTCACTGTCTAGCACCCACGGGAAGTGGCGCTGTACCTTAATAATATAAAAGCTTATATTTGCGTGCATTTCTTGTTTGGAAAGTGGCAATGTACTGAGAGTGGAGGTGTCCTGAGATTAGCGCCTGTATGCAGGCTCCATGGACAGTGCAAAATGCGTACATGAAGCGCTACGTCATGAACGCAATAAATCATACCCTCGTGGGGGCGCGCTCATGTGATTGGCTTAGAATGAAGGAGACATTTGATTGGCTATAGATTGGCTATAGATAGCAATCACAAATTACAAGTACGAATCGGGTGACCGTCAGGGGAGTCTCAAAAAACCCACACACGAATGCACAGCGATCCATGCACAGAAAGCGGGTTGTGTTTGCAGGTTCAGGGGATTTAAACGGAAAACAAATATGTGTGGATCAAAAATACATATGTAAAACTTTTTTCTGTATTTGGATTTTATTTACATGTATGAAACGGAACACATTTGTGTGTGCATTGAAAAACACAAGTGTGGATCCGGAAATACAAGTGTGGATCCTTTTGCGGATCATGAAATACAAGTGTGAATCCTTCTGTGTGCATGTGTGTATTATGAGACTGTTCTGAGCCCATACTATAAAGGCCGATCAGGAGAGCTGGAACTGATCGATATGGACATAAACGCGAGTGAAGTATAACCGGACGAAAGAGAGAGATCAGATCAGCTGCTGAGTCTGACGGATACACGCAGCTCTGCATAATCACCTGAAGCCCCCCCCCCACTGTTTAGCGAGCTGAATGAGAAACTGACGGGCTGTCAGGAGAGAGAGGGAGGGAGAGGGGAAAAGAGAGGATCCGTTTCTCCCGTGTTATTATTCAAAGTTAATAGGCACTTTCACACCGCAGTACTTTTCCCACAAAGGTTCATCAGAACTTAGTTCATGAGAACCCTTTAGTTCACACCGGAATAAGTCCCTGGGGGAGGATTAGTCAAATGAAGCAGCTGACGTCACTTCTTCTTCTTCTGCTTTGGGTTTACTGGCAGGCCGCAAACAACTTCACGGCGTATACTGCCACCCGAAGTCCCCGGCCGGAAGTCCCAGCAGCTTCTACTGAAGCCTTCCGAGTAAATCGCCAGAACGCCGACACCTCCTCATCTCCACCGCTCCCATGTTTTCTTTTGTGTTGCCATAAGTTAGTCTCTCTGCGTTTGTGCGCTGGGCTAATGCTAATAATGCTAATGCGAGGATAATAAAATGGCGGCTTCACAAAACTTTTTGGGAGTTTTACGGGGCGTGGTTTGCATTCCGCCCAGCCAATCAGACATAGGAACCTTTTCTCCCACGAAAGTAGTCTGCTCTCTAGCAGGGACGGAAAAGGGGAAGGTTCTCATGATCTCATTTTAGTTCCGGATTTTTTTGGTGTGAACGCAACATTTCGGAACTATATCGGAACTAAAGTGGGAAAAGTACTGCGGTGTGAACGCGTCTAATGCAAACTTTTGAATAATGTACTTCATCTACTACAAGTAGTTTGTTTGAATGTAATAATTATGTTGTTTGTGGAATCATTTATTGAAAAATGAATCTGAATTTTTCGATTTGTTATGATTATAAACTGAAGCAATATAAAAATGACTCCCATTAACTGAGTTTTAAACATCAGCATATCCGGTCATAGTCCGGTAATTACCTGCTAACAGAAACTCTGCTACACAATTCTTATTATTATTATTGAAACATGACCGGTAAGTTTCAAATTTGTCCGGTAAAATAAATTCTGTCCGGAAACCCTAGCGGAAACCCTGGTACAGATGTGTATGTATGTATATATACATATATGTATATATTTGTACTACAAGGGATTGTGAGAAAACAGCATTTTGATCTCCCTGTCTGTATCACACAAAAGAAGATTGACAATAAAGTTGACTTTGACTATTGAGATGAAAACTATTACAAATAAATGCCACCAGGGCCTAAATCTACATCATTGCACAAAATCAATATCCTGCAAGCAGAAAACAAACACTGGATAACATGATTCCATCAGTCCCAAGGAAGAACTTACCGGTCATGGTGAAAATCCCGACCGGCAGGCTGATGCTCCTGCCTCCGAGGAGCACCGCCTCCGTCCGGTCTCCATGGCTCTTCCTCTCAGCTTTCCTTGACTTTCGGGCAGCCCACACCCCTGTGCCCAGAATCAGGATGTAGAAAATCACCACTGCAACCACACCGGGGATGTTCAGAACCATGGTTCCCAACAACTGTAGAGCACACTGTTTGCAAGTTTGCAAGTTTAACAAATACAGATTGTGATCTAGAGTAGGCAAGCACAAAGGTCACAGACATGTGTGGGAGTCATTCCTGCGTTCGTTGGAGCTGGCATTAATATTGAAGCTTCAAATAAGGCACAGGTCTCACGGAGTACAGAGTATTCTGGAAGAGTGCGCACAGGGACAAGAGTGCGTATAGGTTTTATAGGATCTTGGCAGTTCAACAACACTTCGTCACCTGTCACTGTGGCATAGATAAGATAGATAGATAAGCTACGCCCGCTTTCCAGAGGAACAGAAACCATACATTGGCAATATAGTAAATCAGGAACTTAGCTAAAAACAGGAACTGGTTTAAGACAGATGGAAGTGTTGAAATTAGGAACACATTGTGGGTTAAAGAGAGGTACAAGTGAGGACAGCAGGAAGTCATTGTGAGGTCACTACAGATATAACCAAGAAACTAGGAACTCATTGTAAGACAAGGAACAAACACAGGAACTTGTTTGAGACACTGCTTCACCCTTTGCTCACGACACTGTGTCTCACCCCCAGACATCCTTAAGGCTAGTTATATGTTGAACAGAGGGCATGGATTAAAATACATCCTCATGGAACAACTGCATAGCATTTTACCATATTAGGTAACACATAAAGTTGGTTTGCACATCATATAAAGTTTACACTACATATAGAGTTTGCCATTACATATAAAGTTATAAGTATGCACTTGTATAAAGTTTTCCACTACATTCCCTCCTTTTGATCATACTATGATCAATCATGAAAATAAACAAATGACAGGATCGACTGATATAACACATCAATGAATACATCCCATCGCTGGTTTAAGTAAACACGTCACAAATATATCATGGAAAATAGCTGTTTTTGTGGAGGACAGACTCCAGTATAATGTAAGCATAAGAGGAGGGTAAACTCAATTCGCATTTATATCACTGTCTCATATTCAGACTCTGACCCTGACTCGACTACACTTGGACGCCGGTATGTACGGGGCAAAAGGTTTGCGTAGGCGTGGCGCCCTGTAGGATCTCGGAGTGGGACAGCAGCATACTGAACAAAGGCTGTGGATATCATGCTAGATACACATTTCACTAGCCAGGGGGCCCACTGATAGATGGAGGGATTTGGGTCCAATCGTTAAAGACTGGGAATCTATTACTGATTGGACTATCACTGATGACCCGTTGATTGAGTATTCCTCATCACGTGACGTGTTTAAGTACATCATTAACTGCTCAGTTCATGCACTGCGTTCTCTGGTTCTCACAGGCAATGATGATTATATTAACCCCGTTTCTAGCCCATCTGGCCCGGAGTTCTCATGTTTCACTCATGTTTTTGATCTCCCTGCCGCGTTAGAAGAAGTGCCTATAACGCTGTGGGCAGCTCACAAATATGATGTAGGTTTGATCCGCTCTGCTGAGCCTGTAGTTATCACTCCTAAATCCACATTCCGCCCTAATCAACCGCAGTACCCATTGAAACGTGAAGCTGTTGATGGCATTCGGACAGTTTTTACCTCTCTGCTTAAACAAGGGGTTATTGTTCCATGTAATGACTCCCCGGTACGCACTCCAGTGTTTCCTGTTAAAAAGGTCCGGGACAAACCTCCGGATGAATTGAGATTTGTCCAGGATTTACGAGCTGTGAATGCGGCTGTCCATGCGCGTGCACCGCTCGTTCCAAATCCTTATCTGATTCTTTCCCAAGTGCCTGCCTCTGCAGCATTTTTCACTGTAATAGATCTCTCAAATACATTTTTCAGTGTTCCTGTACACAAAGACAGCCAATTTTGGTTTGCATTTGAATATGATGGTAAACCTTACACATTCACACGTTTGTGTCAAGGCTACTGTGAGTCCCCTACTGTGTACAACCAAGCATTGTGTACAAGTTTGGCCTCTCTGCAAGTTTCAAAAGGCACCGCACTCATACAGTATGTCGATGACATTATGATTTGTGCACCCACAGCTGAACAATGTGAAGTCGACACTGTTGCATTGTTAAAACACCTCGCAGCCGAGGGCTACAAGGCCAGTTTGTCTAAACTCCAATATGTACAAAGAACAGTTACATTTTTGGGTCATGTCATTTCAGGAGAGGGGAAAACGCTTTCAGATAAGCGTATTGCATCATTGGCAGCTTTGCCAAAACCTGTCACTAAACGACAAATGATGTCATTTTTAGGTATGTGTTCATACTGCAGGTCATTCATTCCAAACTATTCTCCACTCGAACTGCCACTCCGTACTATCACGCATGTCACTGGTTTGAAACCTACAGGTCACCTTATATGGACACCGGAAGCCAATCAAGCCTTCATTAACATGAAGCTGGCTCTCCAATCCCCACCGACGCTAGGTCTACCTGATCACACTAAACCTTTCACTCAAGCAGTGGATGAGCGAGATGGGTGTATGACCTCAGTTCTCCTTCAGGATCATGGGGGAAAACAGAGGCCTGTTGCCTATTTCTCCTCCAAGCTAGATCCTGTAGTAGGAAACTTAAACTAGCTTTATTAAATGTCAGGTCTTTGGCAGGAAAAACATTTTTAATCAATGATTTTATCACTGAGCACAATCTCGATTTTTTGTTTTTAACGGAAACATGGATTGAACAAAATAACAGTGCAGCACTTCTTATCGAATCAACCCCTCCCAACTTTAGTTTTATGAGTCAGGAAAGAATGCATAAGAAAGGAGGTCCCTCTGTCCTGGGGGTTGTCAACATGGATGTTAACAACCCCCAGGACAGAGGGGCTAAAGAACTGTTTTGTGTTCTTGATAATTATGGACTGACTCAGCATGTGACGGAGCCCACGCACAATAAGGGGCACACTCTGGACTTAATTATCTCAAAGGGTCTGAATATCTCTGAGGTTGTGGTGACTGATGTTGCACTCTCTGATCATTCCTGTGTTTTCTTTGAGAGCTCTATTTCTGTTCACAAAAATGTTCAAAAAGAGGTAACCACAAAGCGATATTTAACTGAAAATACTAGGGAAATGTTTACTCAGAATTTTTCTTCCACACTTGCCCCTGCTAACATCTCAGTAAATGAGCTAGTAGATCATTTTAATTCAAAAATTAAAAATGTTATAGATGCCATTGCTCCAACTAAGGTAAAGGAAGTGACTGGGAAGAAAATATCTCCATGGAGAAAGGCCATGACAGTGAGAACAGAGAAAAAAAGAGTGTCGAAAAGCTGAACGCAGGTGGCGAAAAACAAATCTCCAGGTTCATTTTGAAATCTATAAAGAGAGACTTGGCCTTTATAATTTGGAATTGAAAATTGCCGACAGTCTTTCTTCTCTGATATCATTTCCAAAAACAAAAACAACGCACGTGCCTTATTTGCTACCGTCGACAGACTAACAAACCCCCCAGTGTCAATAGCCTCTGAATTTCTATCCACAGCAAATGTTTTGTCTCTGTGTCCACTTAAAATCAATTCAGACATCATGACACAATTCCATCAGATTAATGATAAAAACATAGAGGACATTATACAACTTCTGAAATCCTCCTCCTGCTGCCTTGATATTATTCCATCAGGGTTTTTCAAAAATGTTTTTCCTTGCATGGCCTCAGATCTACTTCATATAGTAAACAAGTCTCATCACTCAGGTGTTTTTCCACAGGCCCTGAAAACTGCAGTCATTAAACTGCTCTTAAAAAAGAATAATCTAGATGCTTCAGTAATGAACAATTACAGGCCCATACCAAACCTGCCATTTCTGGGTAAAATCATTGAAAAAGTAGTTTTTCAACAGTTGAGTAATGTCTTGCATTTAAATAACTGTTTCGATGTGTTCCAGTCAGGCTTTCGTCCAAACCACAGCACTGAGACTGCTCTTGTAAAGGTCTTCAATGACATCCACTTAAACACAGACAGTGGCAGAACTTCAGTGTTAGTATTTTTAGATCTCAGTGCTGCGTTTGACACTGTTGACCACAACATATTACTAGACCGACTGGAAAACCAGGTGGGACTTTCGGCAACAGTTCTAAATTGGTTTGAATCCTACTTAAAGGACAGAAACAACTTTGTTTCTATAGGTAAATACACATCTGAGTTGACAAATATGACATGTGGGGTTCCTCAAGGCTCCATCTTGGGGCCTCTTCTCTTTAACATCTACATGCTACCACTGGCTCAGATAATGAAAAACAACAAAATAAGTTACCATAGCTATGCGGATGACACACACATTTACATAACCATTTCACCAGGAGACTATTCTCCAATTAAAACACTGAGTAAGTGCATTGAACAAATCAATGACTGGATGTGTCAGAACTTTCTCCAATTAAACAAAGACAAAACTGAGGTAAGGAGCCAAGGCAGAACTTATAAAAGTTAGCGCTGAGCTTCAGTCTGCAATGTTCAAAACAACAGATAAAGCCAGAAATCTAGGTGTAGTCATGGACTCTGACCTGAGTTTCAACAGTCACATTAAAACAATTACTAAATCAGCCTAATATCACCTAAAGAACATATCTAGGATTAAAAGTCTAATGTCACAGCAGGATTTGGAAAAACTTGTTCATGCTTTTATCTTCAGTAGACTGGACTACTGTAATGGTGTCTTTACAGGTCTCACTAAAACATCTATTAGAAAGCTGCAGCTGATTCAGAACGCCGCTGCTCGAGTCCTCACTAACACTAAGAAAGTGGATCACATCACTCCAGTTCTGAAGTCTTTACACTGGCTTCCTGTGTGTCAAAGAATATATTTCAAAAATACTGCTGCTGGTTTATAAAGCACTGAATGGTTTAGGCCCAAAATACATTTCTGACCTACTGCTAAATGATGAACCATCCAGATCTCTCAGGTCTTCAGGGACTGGTCAGCTTTCTGTCCCCAGAGTCAGAACTAAACATGGTGAAGCAGCGTTCAGTTATTATGCTCCAAATATCTGGAACAAACTCCCTGAAACCTGCAGGTCCACTGCAACTCTTACTACTTTTAAATCCAGGCTGATGACTTATCTTTTTGCCGCTGCTTTTAATTGAAACCGAGCGGTTGTGTTTCGTTTTTGGTTAATGAACATTTGGGGCTAGTAACCCCAGGGAATCAGTGTCTGGGGACTTTGTCCTGGCTGGTTTTCTCTGTGTATGCTGCTCGGGATGTATCTGCCATACAAGCGTACACAGCTCATGTTCGGAGAAACCTTAAAGAAAGGCATCAGTAAATGGATATTTCTTTGTGGTGATTAACTGTCCGTGTACTCTGTGAGAGCGGATAACATTGAAATAACAGAGTCCTTTGACCTAAGAGGAACAGAGTTCCTATAGGGCTTTAGTCTTGAATGTGCCAGAAAGAAATCCTGGATTCATGAGATGTAAAAATTAACAGGAGAATTATCAGTGAAACATTTGCCATATTGGATCAAAAAATGTTGGTTTCCTCAAGGAGGATCTCTGAGTGTAAATCAACTAGAATAAAAAAGTGTTAGATGAAACAGAAAGAGTTCTAAGAAAGAAAAAGAAAGTAAGTGTGAAAGATTTAGTAGCGATAGAGTCATAGAATGTGTTTTAAAATGTGGGAAACAGAAGCAGAAAGTAGGGAAAGAAAGAAAGTGTGTAAGACACTGCCAAAGTAGATGCTATAACAGAAAAAGAACAGACCTATTGCCTTCTCTCTATCCTTCACTGCACAAGGTGACTTCGATGCATGTCCTCCTCCACCTGTCCTCGCCCCCCGGAGCCCAGACATCCAACACCATCTCCAAAGAATGCCACACCCAGTGGCCCCCGGAAATTGCTACAACATAAGAAAGACACGTCTGCCTGCAAGAAACTTCTGCGAGATTTAACCGGTTCTTTATTTTTAGGCCTACTTTTGACTTTCTGTAATAAATTATAATATCACTTGTTTCTCACCGTGTAAGTTATTTTCCCAGCTTCCAGGACCGGATCGGCAGTCAGGGCTCCGTCTGAGAACAGCTTCTCACCTGCCGGGAGGAATAGTCGGCCTTGTGTTCTCCACGGAGTCCAGATCACGCGTCCAGTCCTGTTAACATTCAGGTAAATATGTTACCAATTTGTGTTATTTGTTGTGCATGACTGGAAGCCAATAGCGTAACAGGTTAAAGGTCAATGATGGGTATAAATAAAGCCACGCCTCCAATGGGAGGGCCCGTTGAATGAAATGCCACTGTCTCTGATGTTTCATTACTCCTCCACTTATTTGGATGCTAAACAGCAATGAAGTTATGCTTACTCTGCTAACAGGTTATGGGCCCAGAGACACCCAAATAAGTATTTGTCCACCGATGGAAAGTCGCAACGTAGCACGTGTGGTAGATTAGCAAGCTAAGCTAACGCCATGAGCAGGTTGGGCGCAGGTTCCAGTACCCGCTGGTCTCGGTTAGTGTTTGACGGGGATGAAAAGAACTATGAACTGTGGGAGACGAAATTCTTGGGCCATCTTCGCTTACAGGGACTGAAGAATACTATTTTAAGGAGTCCTACGGACATAATTGAGGAAGATGAAGAGGCGGACGATGAAAGGAAAAATGAAGAGGCTTATGCAGAGCTTATCCAATTTCTTGATGACAAAAGTTTGTCCCTTGTAATGAGGGAGGCGGCGGATAATGGTCGGCAGGCATTGAAGATTTTAAGAGACTATTATGCTGGCACAGGTAAACCACGTATTATCAGCCTATATACTGAACTGACATCACTCCTAAAGTCAAGCAGTGAAAGTGTGACGGAGTATATAATACGTGCAGAGACCGCCATCACCGCTTTGAGAAACGCGGAGGAGAAATTAAGTGATGGGCTTCTTGTAGCAATGGTTTTGAAGGGACTGCCAGAATCATTTAAACCATTCGCCATACACATCACGCAAATTGACAGGATAATAAGTTTTGCTGAATTTAAGACTAAGCTCCGCAGCTATGAGGATACTGAGCGAATGCGCACACCGCCACCAGAGGACAACGTCATGAGGGCGCGGGAACAGTTGAGAGCGAGACGACCCTCTGTACCAAGAGCATGGGATAAAGGAACCAAGTGTGCGGACATTGTTTGTTATAGATGCGGCCTGAGTGGACACAAGGCCGGAACGTGCCAACGTAAGCTGTGGTGCAGTCATTGTAAGAGCAACACGCATCGGGATGCAGCCTGCAGACGGAAGCAGCGACGGGAGGACGACGCGCGGAAAGCTTCAGATGAAACGACTGGCGAGGAGTATGCTTTCCGAGTCAATGACGTGGACAACAAGGTCCAGCCAGGACGCAGCATCACCGAGAGAGGACTGATGGTGGACACAGGGGCGACTTCACATATCGTCACGGATGTAACAAAGTTCAAGAGGTTTGATGATGACTTCCAGGCTGAGTCCCACTGTGTGGAATTAGCTGATGGTACCAGGTGCAATGGTGTAGCAGAAGGAAGAGGGGACACTGTTATTATTATGGTGGACAGCATGGGGAAAGGACACAAAACAACTCTGAAGAAGGCGTTGTACATCCCATCGTACCCCCAAGACATTTTTTCTGTGAAAGCAGCTACTACCAAAGGAGCAACGGTAACCTTCAAGCAGGGCAAAGACGTCCTGCAACACAAAGACGGTACAAAATTTCACATTTATGAATTGAACAGACTTTATTTCTTGAACACAGTAAATGATTAATGTGATGACCAATGCAACAGGTGTTATGATTTACAGACATGGCATGAGATCCTGGGACACTGTAATTATGATGATATTCAGAAGTTACAGAATGTTGTTAATGGCATGTCAGTTAAGGGTAAGGTAAACAAACCTCCACATTGTGATGTATGCACTAAAGGGAAGTTTACCCAAACCAGGAACAGGGAGCCTGATGTAAGAGCCAAAGCAGCTCTAGAGTTGGTGCACACAGATATAGCAGGACCAATAGATCCGCAATCCAGAGAAGGCTTTAAGTATGCTTTATCATTCACAGATGATTACTCCAGTGCAGTGTTTGTGTATTTCCTTAAAAACAAAAGTGACACAGTGCAAGCAACAGAGAGATTTCTGGCCGATACTGCCCCATACGGGAAAGTAAAATGTATCAGGTCAGACAATGGCACAGAGTTCACAGGGAAACATTACCAAGCATTACTATGCAGTAATAAGATTAGACATGAAAAGTCAGCACCGTATTCCCCACATCAAAATGGCACTGCTGAAAGGAATTGGCGCACACTTTTTGACATGGCCAGGTGCATGCTTATAGAAAATGAGATGCCAAAAAGTATGTGGACCTATGCAGTACAGACAGCAGCTGTAATAAGGAATAGATGCTTTAACAACCGCACAAAACAGACACCTTACTTTATGCTGACAGGTAGACGGCCTAACCTTTCCAGAATGCACAAGTTTGGGTCAGTGTGCTATGCCTATAAGCAAGACAAAAAGAAACTGGACTCAAGGTGTGAAGAGGGAATTTTTGTTGGATATGACAAAAATAGTCCAGCCTACATGGTATATTTCCCTCACAGTGGAAAAGTGCAAAAATCTAGACTTGTGAAGTTTGTGACCAAGACCAATTCAGAAAGAGAAACACAAACAGAAACCGTCTCTGATGATGATTTTGAGGTACAGAACAAATCTGGCAAAATCAAAGGTGATACTAACGTAAGTCCAGTATCTATACCTGTTGTAACAGAGACAGAAGACGACAAGAGTAAGCTTAGGCGTTATCCTTCAAGAGTGAGGAAGAAGCCAGCTTACTTATGTGACAGTGTATGTGGTAAGGAAAGTGAGGATCAGCTACTGACAAATATTGACTATTGTTACAGATTAATGTGCAATATCCCTTTAACATTTAGGGAGGCTGTAACTTCATCTGAGTCAAAACAATGGGTTATTGCAATGGATGAAGAAATGCAATCACTAAAAGAGAATGACACATTTATCCTGACCAACTTACCTCAAGATGAGAAAGCAGTGGGGGGTAAATGGGTGTACGATATCAAAACCAATGTTGATGGATCCGAAAGATACAAGGCACGATATGTAGCCAAGGGATACAGTCAGAAGAGGGGTGAAAACTATGATGAGACATTTTCACCTACCGCTAACCTCACCAGTATCAGAGTGTTAATGCAAAAAGCAGCACAGGAAAATCTGATTTTACACCAAATGGATGTTAAAACTGCTTACCTACATGCACCAATAGACTGTGAGATATACATGGACCAGCCAGAGGGTTTTGAGGTCAAATCTAGTAAAGGTGAAAAGTTGGTGTACAAGCTAGAAAAGTCACTATATGGGCTTAAACAGTCAGGCAGAAATTGGAACAAAATGCTACATGAGTATCTGAGTGAAAATGAGTTCCTACAGAACCCTGCTGACCATTGTGTTTACACAAAAGAAACTGAAAACTGGAAAGTGATAATGATAATATGGGTTGATGATATAATCATTGCAGCTAGTGATAACAATGCATTGAAAGTTGTTAAAGAGATGCTCACAGCTAAATTCAGGATGAAGGACTTGGGGAAACTAAAACATTTCCTTGGCATTGATTTTGATCAAACTGATTCCTGTGTAAAGATGTCACAGAAGAAATATGTGAACAGAATACTTGAAAGGTTTAACATGCAGGATTGTAAACCGAGAGCGACACCTTGTGAGCAAAAACTGAACTACTTGGATGATGCTGTACCGATGAAGGATGTTAGAATGTACAGAGAGGCAGTAGGTAGCCTGATCTACCTAGCTGTGTGCACGAGGCCTGATTTGAGTTTTGTTGTCAGTAAACTGTCCCAGTATTTTTCTGAGCCGACAGAAGAGCAATGGACTACTGTAAAACATGTACTGAGATATTTGAAAGGTACAATCGACAGGGAACTGTGTTACCGGAAATGTAAGAGTGAAAAACTGGGCTTACAAGCATACAGCGATGCAGATTGGGCTGCTGATCTAACCGACAGACGTAGTATGTCAGGTTATTGTGTTAGCCTTAATGAGAGCGGGCCACTGGTTTCCTGGAAAACCAAAAAGCAGCCAACTGTTGCTTTATCAACTTGTGAAGCCGAGTATATGGCTTTAGCAGCTACTATGCAGGAGTGTATGTACTTAATACAACTACTAGAGGGCATTGACAAATGTGAATATACACTACCTACGATTTACGAAGACAACCAGGGCACAATAGCGTTGGCAAAGAATCCTGTTAACAGACAGAGATGCAAGCATATTGACATTAAGTATCATTTTCTGAGGTCAACTGTGGAAGGGGGAAAAACAAATCTGATTTATTGTCCAACAGATCAGATGGTGGCAGATGTTATGACAAAACCTGCACCAAAGTTTAAGTTGATCAGTGGTAGTGATGTGTCGGTCGCGAACGAGCCGGCTCAAAGAGCCGGCTCTTTGAAGTGAACGACGGGAGCCGGCTCGCGCCCGCGAACGAGCCGTTTTTTTGTTTTTGTTATTTTTTGTTAAGTAATACAAGACAGAATGATATGATGATCTCCGCGCTACAGCTGCTCCGTGCATGCATGCAGTGGCATGTAATATCAAAGGATTAGAGACTGTTGGATGCTGCTGTTTTGAGCATTGCAATATATTTATTTGTATTATGTTTTTTTATGATTAGAGACGGTTGGATGCTGCTGTACTGAGCATTGCAATATATTTATTTTCACTCTGTTATTTATTTATGATTATCCTTGGGCTCAGCAAAGATTTGATGTCAGCTGTTGCTGTCTTTTTTTCTATAGTTAATACTGAAATAGAGCCCTGCTGTTTTGTCAGGGCCTTTTCTTTAAATATAATTTTAAAATGTCGATACAGTAGCCCCTTTTTTTAAATGTCTATGCTTAAGTTTTTATAGGTGTTGCTATCTGCTTTGTGTAGCGTGGTTCTACAAGCAAGTCTGTGCATTCATTGGGTGGTATCAGAGAGATACAAGGGTCTGTAAATGCAATGAAAACAATTGGCCACATGCAGCAAATAATTGATATTAAACATGTCATTTTTACTTTTGAATACTTCAGTACAAAGGATGTATTGAATAATTTAAGTGATATGTGTACACATATAAATCATTAGTCAAAACAGGGCTACATTTGATTGAATTATAAAAGGTATAATATGTGGTAAACTGAAGAGCCGTTTGGGAGCCGAAAGAGCCGGCTCTTCTTGGTGAGCCGAGCCAAATGATCCGGCTCACCAAGAAGAGCC